CGTACGAAGGAAATCAGAGGTGTACACGGCATCATGGGAACAGAGAGGAGAAATGAGCTCTGCCTGGGGTGGGGATGGGGAATGGAACGCTCTCTACAGAAGGCAATGATTTAAAAGGTAAGTGTACCTTGCTCTGAAGATGGGAGGGGCGGCGTAGAGGGGCACCCCAGTCACAGGACGAGCAAACACAGAGGTCTAGACGTGAGAAACAGGAGCACGTTCATTCCCAGTTCAAGATGGCAAGCTAAGCCTACATGGCGACACCTCCCCCCGTACCATATTACAGGAATGATGAAAGAGCAGGCAGGGGGAGGACAGAAGAAAGGAGAGCAATGGCAGGAGGAAGAAGTGAATACAGAGCTACGCCCCGCAAACAGAGGGAGAGCTCGTCGGTCAGAAACTGCAAGTGCAAGTGTCCGCGAGAATGAAGACAGGTAGCACCACCAGGCGGAAGCTGAAGCTCAGAATACAGGGGCCGGCAGGTGGCGTGGTACTTAATGGTGTTGGACTCCCACATGGCTGACGGAGGTTCAAATCCTGGACCTGGCAACTTGCTTTCTCACTCTCCCACCTCGCCCCCCCCATCCCTCTCTGGTCAATTAAAGTAAATAAATAAAGTTAAATAAAAATAATTCAGAGTGCTCACTGCACAGTAGTGCTGGACAAAAAACAGGAGGGGGCCCAAAGGCTACAGTCTAGAGCTGAGCGGCAGCGCGTGGTGGAAGCAGCCAGGCCTGTTGAAACTGTGTGGTTCTACTTCCAGCTCGGCCTCAGGAGCAGCTGGCCTGAGGGAGAGGAAGTCATCAATCCAGCAGGGAATGTAAACTGCAAAAGCAGGCAAATTAAGAATCACCCTGGGGCCGGCAGGTGGCATAGTTGTTAAGGTGCTGGACTCCCACGCGACTGACCAGGGTTCAAGTCCCAGATCTGGCAGCTTGCTTTCTTACTCCTCCCCCTCTGGTGAGTGTGTGTACCCTTTAGTAAATTAAATAAATAACAATTAATAAAGTTAAATAAATCATTCTTTTTTAATTAAAAATTTATTTATTTATGTGTTTTTATGTATTTTAACTTGACCAGAGAGGGACAGAGAGAGAGAGAGAAAGAGACACAGAGTGAAAGAAAGAGAGGGAAAGTGAGAAATCAAGGTGCCAGGTCTATGACTCAAACCAGTCAGCCACAGAGGAGTCCAGCACCCTTAACCACTATGCCACCTGTCAGACCCCAATAATTCTTTTTTTTTTTGGAGAGGTTTTTTGCTACAGGGCGCGTGCGCTTGCCAGAGAGACAGAGAGACAGAAAGTGAGAAATCACCCCCCGGGGAGATGGCCATGCCACAACCCCTTCTTCTCCATTCTCTCAGGATCTTGGGCACGCATGCACATGCGCCCGGCATGAGTTTAAGCCACAGGATCCAGGACTCAAACTGCGGTTGACTACATGGGAGTCCAGCGACATAGCCATTACGTTAACTGCTGGTTCCACCAATAATTCTTTTTTCAAAGAATTAAAGAGAGTGACAGAGAGAATGTGAGAAAGCCAGTTACCAGGTCCAGAATTTGAACCACAGTGGGCCACATTAGAGTCCAGAGCCTTTAACCACCATGCCACCTGCTAACCCCTAAAAGATTTTTTTCAAAGAAGGACTCACCCTGGATGGGGCCAGCAGGTGGAGTAGTGGTTAAGGTGCTGGACTCTCACATGGTTGACTGTGGTTAGAGTTCTGGATCCACTGGTTAGAATCTCATGCCAGGCACGCATGGGTGCATGCCCAAAAATCCCAGGAGGAAAAGGGATTACAGTGTGGCCATCGCCCCCTGAGGGTGGTTTATCACTTTCCCTCTCACTGTCTCTCTGCCTCTCTGGCAAGCACATGCACCATATGGGGAAAAAAAAAAAATCACCCTGGCTTAAGAGCATCCATACCACAAAATAAAATCTTATCAAATGGAAAGACTTAAAATGTCCCAATACCAGACTTAATAATCTAATCAAAATGGAATTATTAAGTATAATTAATTAACAAGACAGTTTCTTTTTAAAGTATTTACATCCTTAAAACCAGAATAAGGAATTAAGGGACGAATCAGCTAACCATCTCAGAGATGAGAAGTCACTGAGATGAAAAATCTAATAAAGCAGAATGGCAGAACAGACCCAGCAGACTAATGTGTGGCCTGAAATAAAAAGGGCAACATTCCCCCATAATGCAACACGAAGACATAGAGGGATAAGAAAGAGAAAAGAAGATGAATAAAATCAGAGGAGAGATCCGGAAGAGTCAACATCAGTCTAACTACAGAACAGAGGAAGTGGAGGGAAGTGATATACCCAGCTAGAAAGTGGAGACTTTCCCAGACCTAAAGAAAGCCATTAAGCTCTTCAAGTAGTTCAGAGTGACTGGGACATACGACACAGGGTTGTGCCCTACAAGGTTCGTGAGGTATTCTGAGGCTACACCAAGAGATCTTGCATTTCAGGTAAGGTTTTACAATGGGAGTGAGCTGCTGCACTGAGGCACAGTCTGGAACTGCCCTGCGGGACACCAACAACATGGCCGCCATCACAGAGAATGGAGTGACCATGACCTGGCATCTAGCGGAAGGAAGAGAAAGCAAGTTTGGAGACTGATTTAAAATGCAAAATTAAAAGCAGTCCTTAATCAACTGAATATGGAGAAAAAGAGCGAGAGCTGGGTTGAGGATGACTCCAGTTCGGGTGCGTGGACAGGTATGGCCCTCATCAGTAGAACGATGATGTGTATGGGTCAGGAGAAGGCATAAAGAGGCAGGAAATAAAATAGAAAAAGAAGAGAATCAGAGGAGAGATCCAGAAGTTTCAACGTCAGTCTAATTAGAGAACAGAAAGAAAGTCTCTCCTGACGTGGGTCAGTAGAGAGGCTGGAGTCAGAGACACAGGCCAGACGATCGTCAGAGTACACACGGACGAAGGCAGGGCAGGGAGGAGCAGGCCCATGGTCTGGAGGAAGGGCCAGAAGAGGGGGAACGGAAGGACAGAGCCCTGGGAAACAACTGCACCGTGCAGTGCTGGCGTGTGTGGGGAGGGCCGGGGAGGTCAGCGAAGACGGCGAAGAACCAGAACCAGGAAAGAAAGAGTAGCTTTATTAAGTGGAGAAGGAGGAGTACTTCGCTATGTTCTGTGAGAGCGTTGTTAATAAAATATGTGAAATCTGGCAAGAAGGAAATGACAGTGAGTGAGAACACACTTGGTGCGATTGTGAAAGCTGGAGTCAGACTCACAGACTGTGTCTGCGTAGACTCAGGAAGTGTGGGGAACTCAAGAGTCAAGGCTAGAAATAAAAGAAAGGGAAGCAGAGGGCTCAGGACAGGGAGGTCAAGCCTGCTTTATTTCTATCTACTAATTCTTTTTTTTTTTTTTAAGAGAGACTTTTGCTAACAGGGCACGTGTGCTCACCAGAGAGACAGAAAGCGAGAGATCACCCCCCCGGCCCCCCAGGGAGGACAGCCATACAGCCATCCCTTGTCCTCCATTCTCTTGTGACTTTGGGCACACACATACATACGCCCTAGATGAGTTTTAAGTCACCAGGTCCAGGACTTGAACTGTGGTCAACTACATGGGAGTCCAGCGATGTAACCATTATGCCATCTGGTGATCCCTTGTATCTTCTAATTCTAAACATACACCTACCCTGTAACCCAACAATCCCACTCCTAGTAACGATCTAAGCATCATCCAAAAGAGAATGAGTAAATTCTGGTATATTCATACAATGCAGTAATACACAGCAATAAAATGAACAAACCACAGGTAAGTATAACGTGGATGAATATCAAATGTATTATGTGAACTGCAATTAGCGAGACACACATCCTACATACCATATAATTTCCATTTGTATGAATTCAAGAACAGGTAAATTAGACTGTGTTGTTAGAAGTCAGAATAGCAGTTACCTATGAGGAGGGGTGTTATTAGCTGGGAAGAGGTGCGAGGCAGTCTGCCAGAGGGCTGGAAACGTTCCCTAGGTCGATCTGAGTGATGCCTGTGTAAACGCGTGTGTGGAAAAGCGCACTGAGCTGCTCTCTAAGATGAGTGAACTTTTGTGTCCTTGATTATGTCCTGTTACCCAAATGTTACTAAAACTTAAAAAAAAAGAATAAAAAGAAAAATGTAATGACAACTTTGCTAAGGAAATAGCACTAAGATCTGTAACATACTACCAAACCAGAGTGAATCCTGAACTGGCCCTGAGATAGCTGATGACAGCACGCAGAGCAGCGATGGCGGGCCGAAAATGCCAGAACCAAATGAATCCGTCAGCCAAGGAGCAAACCATGCCTTTCTCTTAGGCAGTACTGTCAGTGTTTCAGCTCACTGGCTGCTGTCTCCCTAAACACCCGCTTCCAAGCCCATGTCCTTACGTGGGTTCCTCAGCCTAGCCTAAGGTAGAGCTTTAGATGGTCAAAAGACGTTTTCTAGGACTCAGTGTCAGCCTCGTACCTCTCATGGAAAAGAACACAACTACTGGCTTCCTTCACACTGTCAAAGAGCAGTTTGAGAAACAGATTTGGGACCAGCCCCGTATCTTCCTGTTTAAGGGAGCCGGATCCCACATGGCTGACTGTGGTTCAAATCCTGGCCCTGGTGCCTTGATGAACACAGCAGGTAGGTGTGCGTGCATACCTCAAATCCTGACAGAATGGAGTAATGGAAAAGGGACCGTGGTGTGACCATGTCCCACTGGAGGGTGTTTTCTCCATCTCTCGCTCTGTGGGGAGAGCAATTTGAATTTCAAAAAAAAAAAAAGATTTGTACCCATTAAAATCACAGCAGAAGTTTGTGATCCTCTCCTTTGATACCTTTTGATCATATTAAATAACAGCAAGATGAGTTGCCATTTGAACCCCAAATCATTTACTTTTCAAAAGAAGTATGAATCATCAATAAACTTAGCTTTATTTCAAATTAATATGGTCCTTGCATGTTTGTTATAAGAGAGGAAATGAAGTACTTACCATTCTGTCTGGTACCAACAGCAGCAATGATGACGGGGACTGAATTTAAAGCTCTTTTTATCACTGGAATATAATTGTCCTTCACTTCATGGAATGAAAACTTGTCATTTACGTTGTATTTGATCACAATGATGTCAGCACCCCCAATTAGATTTCGAGAGGTGTACCAATCACTGTCAAAAATGTCCTAAACCAAAATGCAAACAGCAATCTTTACTTATCTTCACATCAGTTGTGAAATAAACTGCAGCATTAGCTTCCAGGGTTTTTGTTTTGTTTTTGCTACATTTTAACTTTTAGAATTCATACAAAGAAATTTATTTTTAAATAAGTAACAATATAAATTTTAAAAGGTCTGAAGTCTGCCTATTCGATTTTTTAAAATCTTTATTTACTCACTCAGCTTAACCAACTATAAAGTGGTTCCACAGGAGACCTACAGGATTTCTGAGAGTCTGATAAAATAAGCAACCTCTCTCAATATTTACATGTAAAAAGAAACACTTTGTTTACAATTATGGTATATTTTTGTTACCTAGTAACTTCAAATATGTTACATTACGGGTTAGACGAAAGTGCAGAGGAAGAGTAACAAAGCTTTAAAAGATTTTCTGTGACCCAGTTAGACACTGCAGGATTTTTAGGTGTTTTGAGTAGTAAACCACTGAGTTCTTTAGCATTCCATATATTTTATTCATATTTTCAGAATTAATATGTCATTTTCAACTTCATCCCAACAGGACTATATTTGTACAGTGTGTATGGGGCAGGGGTGAGGGAGATATGAAATACACCTCATCAAAAAGATACTGTGTCTTACAAGGTACTAACATTGTAAGGAATATTTGCGATCCGTGTACTTTGTACATATAAATGAAAAACTCAGGATCTTTCTGATTAATGACATCTTACTTTTATACTACAATTAATACATATACAGTATTCAGAATTGGGGTTATAAACAATGTATTAGGGACCCTATTGAAAATATTTTATGGGAGCTGACATATGGCCTGGTGGTTAAGGTACTAGACTCCCACAGGGCTGACCACAGATTCAGTCCTGGACCTGGTGGCTTGCTTTCTGACTTTCTCTCTCTCTCTCTAGTCAAATTAAAAAATAATCATAAATAAAATAATTCTTAGAAATAGAAAACAGAAAAGAAAATATCTAATGATCCTTCATTCCACTGCCAAATATGCCCAAGGAGTTTCTGTCTCATATTCCAGTTAGCCATCAATCATGGTCTGTCCTTTATCTACCATTCGGTATGAACCGCTGTGACCCAACAAAGCTCGATAAAGGAAATAGATGTGGGCTGACTGGTCTAAACGGTTGGTCTGTAAACGCTCGTGCTTTCAGTATGATTCCAAACAGGGTTAATAAGGTCTGAGCTGACGGACCAAGACCTATGCGACCGACGTTCTACCCTATGACGGAAAATTCTGGGAAAGTGCCACCCAGCAATGCCCTCTGGCAGAGCCAACTGCTTCTCTCCCTTGCCTCCTTCCATCGCCTGCACCCTCACAACCTGCCCGTCTCCCACAGGACACTCAGAGTAACAAGAATCACAGAGTTTTTAGACGTGAAAGTGCACGACAGACAGTGGGAGAGATGGAGAGCATGTCCAAAGAAAGTTTAAAGAGAAAAAAAAAAGCTAACTGTGGACTATAAACACCAAAAGCAAAGGTTTAAACTTGGTAGCAAGCATAAAGGGGCAGGAGAAGTGAAGTGGGACAAAGCAAAAAAAAAAAAAAAAAAGGCAAAAGTTTCCCGGCAGGGCTCTACACTAATTTCCAAATCCCAAACCACAAAACCCACCCAGTTCCAATTGTGCGTGCTAGGGTATTCAAGTTCAAAGTACACAAATTTGTATCTGTTAGGCTATTTAAATTCAAAGCACACAAGTATAACAGAGTATATAACAAAGAAAGAGGACCAGGTCAAGCCTGCAGCTGGCAGGACACATCCCTGCAATGCTGGAACCACATGGAAAACCACAGTTCAAATCCTGGGCCAACCAGAAACCTGTCTGGTGTGATCCCAGCTGACAGGAAGGCTTGGAGGGGGAGAGAAGAATCAGCGTGATGAGACACTGTTGAGGGGGCCTGTTTCTTTCTTTTGAAAGAAAAACTTGTAAAAAGGGACAAATTCAGATGAATGAAGATAAATCTATATAAGTGAGACCACCCTTGTGGAGCCATTGGGCTCGGAAGAGTATAAATCAAAAAAGCTGCTCTTCACATTCCAAGTAGCTTGAAATTCCAGAGTTACAAAGGGGGGTGTGTGTGACTGAGGGCAAATGTCATTAACACCGGAAACTGTGGTTCTGCCCAGGTAGACTGTAACTACTTAAGTTTTTATCGGTTGGTTTGTTTGTTTTTGTAATAGGAATCAAGAGCTTCAAATTATGCCCAACAAAACGGAATGTATCACCTCACTGCATTTTATGGAAGATATCTGATAAATGGGAAATGATTTAGAAATGAAAATGAAATCATAATATAACTGCACCAAAAAAGGGGGAGGGGCTAGAGAGAGACAAAACAATGAGCTACATCTGATGAATCCAAGCACCTTCATTCTAAAAGTGCCAGGCCTATACTGCAAGGACCCAGAGTAAGGCAAAGGGTCTACAGAAGAAAACTAGGAGAGAAACCCAGCGAGCTCGCTCCAACTCCCAGGCAACCGCGACGCATTCTTGTCTCTGTCTACGTCAATGGGAAGATGCTCTCATGGTTTCTAGAATTATGAAGGAAATCAAATTCTCCTATCCCTTGTAACTCAGTGCCAAGATTTCCTCTAGGAGCTTATCCCACACAAGACTTGGAGCCATATTTGGAGAAATGAGCTCATCATAGCTTTGGTTAAAAATCTGAATTTCTATAGAACATCAATTCTCTTCTAATTGATGGTGAGGTTGCAAATAAAGTACCTACAAAATGCTAACACTGCCTCCTCTGTGGATCTGTCTTAATCTCAAATAGCCTGCGGGGGGGAACTACTTCTGTGTACTATCAATGATACCTGGCTATACTGAAGCTGTAGTAAAAGCTTGCAGAGCCCTGAGCCTGAACACCTACCTACCTGAGGGCCATTAGCTTAGACCTTCCATGCACATCTCACTCCACCCCCATCTCCAGCACCACTCTAGAAGCAGGGATTCTCATAACTGTTTTACAGACCGGGAAAACACAACAGACAGAGGTAAGTGATTTGTCAAGGACACATGGGCGTGTGCACTGGCAATGTGGGGATTTGAAATCGGTCCTTTTGCTATCATAACCTGTGCTCTACTGCTCTGCTTATATTTAATATTCTAATTTAGTAGGTAAGTCAGATAACAGCTGATAAACACGATCAACTTTAACATCTCTGATGGGTTTTAGCACCAAGAGAAGAAAAGCACCTTCTAGTCAGCAACTCTACAAATGTATACTACTGTGTCTAAACACCTTGACCACCTAGAATCTGTACCTGGTTATGAACTCTGCCTTAAACAGGGCCAGAATCTACCTAAACAAAACGTGATTTGCATCATTAACCATAACGATCAGGAGATAGCAAAAACCCAGGCTGTGGAGGCTTATTTTAATCCATTTGGAATCCCTTTTCATTTTAGTACATGCACTATGTGGGATCACAGCATGGCTTTTTGTTAAATTAACAACATAAGCACGAAAGGGTTAATAGTTCAAATTAAAAACAGGAAAAGCAATCTTAACATCCTAATTCGGGGCTTTTCCCCCTGCATTTATTTACTCTATTCACCAAACATTTGTTCAAGCGAGTGCTGACCCAGGTTGTTTTTTTTTTTTTGTTTAAGTTTTTAGACCTTGAAATCTTTCTCAATTAAAAGACCAAAGTTAAGTGTTTCATTTGCTGGAAAAGACTCCAGCCCCATCAAGGCTTCTTCTGGACAGCATCGCCATGGTCTTAGTGAGAGGGTTTGGAGCATGCTTTAGTGAAAGGCCTGTTTCTAATTTATTTTAGTATATTAACTTTCCTTCACTGAAAATTCATTCGGGCAAGTGATCATTACTTACCGTAATATGGAAATTTCCAAAGGATTTTTAATGTACATTTTACACATTTCTCTCAAAAGGTGTATGAGTACCTTGCAGCTTCTGATCCTGTTTCTTTTTTATTGCTGTTTAAACACAAACTCTCACGTAATATCATTTTGTATTTTCTTTTCCAGATATGAAACTTTCTTGTTATAAAATGCAATCTTCAGCTGATATACCTATACACACACATATATACACACATACACATATATATACATACATATATAAATATATATATATATACACACACACACACACACACATATATCCACCTCCAGTACCAGGAAAGAATAAGAAATTCTCAAATATGATTAAATGAAAACATTCAAAATTCAATATAATCTTGTTTTGAAACTATTTCTCTGTGTCAGGATTCTCTTCTTTTATCAAACACTCAAGAATCAGACTGAAATTTACCCACTTGATACAGTTATTTTTCAATTTTTGCCAATTTCAAAGTAATATTAATTAATTCCAAGTAATATTAGTAATATTATTTGACTAGTTTCTAAAAGCAAATGGCTAAAATATCAAGAGGATTTGCACTACTAAAATTAAAAACACTCATTAAAAATTTTCAGAGGCGAACAGTGCCATAAATCTATGTTTAGAATGAATTTTCAGTGCCTGTCTTCTCCCCCTCTTTTCAGGGGTCCTACTTTTGAACTGTCCCAGTGAGAGGTGTTTTGGCCAGTGTTGGCTTCAGAGGACTGTATTTTTAGAAAGCTAATATAACACTATCACCCACAGGGTAGGCAGGGAAAAACATTGCTGGTGCAACTTAGTGACCCTGTCCTTTGGGGCTGGTGCACTCAACTGCCAGCTGTCTACCCAGGGACAACTCACAGGGGAGGCGTAGGAGTAGGTGCCCCACATTCCCAGGGGCGCTTCTGACCTTCCTAGAGCCAGCTCTGCCTGGGCTGCCCCTAGCTCAATGAAACAAAGGAACAACGATTTTTACGAAAATGTTTAAAAACTCTACCCAGGTGACGGGACACTCTGCATTCACGGAAGTGGGGAAAAAGGAGAGGAGGGGGAGAATGAAAGAAAAGCTCTCCCGCCTCGGCAAAGAGCAGCCGTTCTCCCTTAC